GGGGGGCGGGCCCACAACAATGTGGGCGTGGCAAGAACCCAGCCGTTGCTCTAACATGCGCTTAAAATGTTACATTAGGTCATGCATATACATCACATAAGCAAATATTTAAAGCTTATTTATAGTTAAGGTTTACAGCATAAATTGAAATGGATATGAAAAAATTTCTCTTACACCATTGTTGTAAATGGACTCATATAACAACTGTGGAAAACTAACATATTTTAATCAAGTGCATAGCTTATGACCTAGTATTATGTCAAGACCCTGAAGAACTCTGAACTACAGGTCATATGCAAAAATAATCACAGCAATATTATCTGTGTAGAAAAATTTAAGGAGAATCAACTTCCACTAACAATAAAATAGATATACACACATTGATAGGAATCCTATAGCAGGAAAGTATGAAGACATGAAAAAATAAAAAATGGCATTACAAGAAATGTACGAGGGCCAGGGAGATGGCTCAGTAGAATAAGCACTTGCCTCGCAAGCACAAGGGCCTGGGTTCAATACCCAGTTCCAAAAAAAAAAAAAGGAAAAGAAAAATGTATGATGTAGTCTCACAAATAGGGTCTGTAATAAAGTAAAATGCTTAAATTAATCTATTGCTAAATAGGTTCTCAAATTTAATTTTCTAAATATCCACCTTTATGCCATTAATATAAAAGCAGCCCATTAATTTACCCACATGCAATGATACCACAGATGAATTCTGAACCATGATTTTATTCAGTGTAGCTGGACAAACCCATTTAAAATGAACGGTTTTTTAAAAAGAATGAAGATGGCAATGGATTCTTTCCACGTAGCAAGACATACAATAAAATTTTAGCCATGGGACAGGTCAGTGACACAAAGGACATACGTGTGTTTCTATGTACACAAATTAAATAATAAACATAGTGTGTGCCCTTAGTTTGCAGGGTAAGGAGACAAAATTGGGGTTTTGATGGGATCACACGCGGGCCTTTCTCGCCCCGCACAGCGGTCCATTCCGCCGCCACCGCTTTATGTCCTTTGTCCTCGCTGCGCTTCCATCCACCCTGCAGACGTGACTTTTGAGGGCTGATCAAGTACATTTTTTTTCTTTTAATGTTTTCTGACTAATTGCTATGAACACACTATTTCTCTGTCGCTCTCGGTTGTGCTAGAGAGTATTTCGTGCATTTGTACCTCGTCATGACCCAATACACATCATGACTGACACTGACTCAGGAAAGCAACTTCGAGCTTTTCCACTCAGCTCTTCCCTCCCGCACGGCCTTCCTCTGGCCTGTGTTTTAACTGTTCATGCTATAAAGCCCACGAAGCTTTCACGCACGGGACACCATGCACATGTCTGCTTCTGTCTACATTTTCCCTTCCTGCCCTCGTTCTCCTTGACACATGACGTGCTCCTCTCCAGGACCGTTTCTGAGGACCTGAGGGACTCCTGTTAGCACCTGAGCATGCACTGATGATGAACCCTAGTGCAGCAAGTTGTCCCATGTTGTCAGCCTAAGCTGTCTTTACTTTGCCGTCCCTTTGGCAGATGTCCCCACTGGGGACTGTCTTCTGTGATGGCAACTGCCTGCTTTCAGCACATGAATGTGTCTTTCAGCATCATTTATTTCTGCAGTTTCCTTCTGCCCAGGATTATTGTTCCTTGATCCTTTCTGCCTGACACCAGCTTTCCATACAGCAATTAAGTTTTTAAAAATTTTTAATTGACTTCTCCAAAGTTCTCAGCAGGACCTTTGGTCTGCCACTCCACAGCAGCCTAAGAAGCAGGTTATGCCACTTCAGAGGCTTTTGTTTGCAAGTCTCCGATACATTGTTAGTTCTCAAAAGTACTTCATGGTGGTTTCATGCAATTTCAGTCAAATGAGTTGTTTCTGATTTTTTTGGAAATAAATCTTTTTAAAGAGAATCCAGGCAACACATATTGCTAATTCATGGGATTATCTATCCTTTGGCCAAGAGTTTTTAATCATTTATAGTTTCCTTACAAATGTAAAGATTCAAAATGAGAATGACACTTTGTATATCTAAAGACAAAGTACAGACTACTGCACTGAGTTTCTGAACATTCGGTATAAAATTAAGCCAAGAGCTTAGGGTTGCACAGCTGAGGAGTATTAGCTGTAGCCCTAACAACTTACTTCAGACAGCGGAGCCTGCTGGACATCCATCCACAGTCCTACGGCACGCCTTGGAAGGAGCGTGCCGGCGCCTCCCCGCTTCCGCCTCCTGGATCCCTGGCTGAGCCTGGGTCACTGTGGAAGCTCAGAGTGCAGGCACTGCCCGCGGTTTCCAGAAGGCGCGGGCAGTGCCTAACAATTCCTGGTGCACAGCGGCAGAAGGAACAACGCAAGTGCTGTGGTCCAGCTGTGCTCAGGCCTGAGCACCAGGCACCCCGACTGCAGCCTCGGCCCGGGGACAGGGCCGGATGGCCAGCAAGTGGGGTTTTGTTTTTCGCTTTTTTTTTTTTTTTAAGGAAATTAGTAGAGATAAAGTGGTGAAATATAAGTAGACATGATACAGTTTCTCAAAAAAAAAATACTAGAAATTATAGAGTAGAAACTTCAAAGTAAACTATTCAAAATTTGTATTTTAACAAAATTCTACCAGAAAAAAAATATATTTGACTGGTCCTCCATTGTGTAATCATAGCTTAAAGAGTTTTAAGCTATAATTTCATGAAATTATGAAACATCTATAATACATAAATATAGTTTAAAACTTTTTGTAAATGATCAACAAAAATGATGTATATAGTCAGCAGTTATGGTGCACACCTGTAAACCCAGCACTCTGGGAGGCTGAGGCAGGAGGACAGCAAGTCGGAGCCCAGGCTGGGTAGTTTAGTGAAGTCCTGCCTCAAAATGAAAAATAAAAAGTAAAATGAATAGGGGTGTAGCTCCGTCATAACACCCAGGGATCAATGCCCAGTGCCACAGAATACAGAAGATAAAGATTAAAAATAAACATGCCATGCTAAGTGCAATGTTAATAAGTTTTTAATAAAGACAGGAAGTGAAATAGAAATAGTAGAGTGCGTAGCAGAGGTGCTGAGTGTCCACTAGTTTATAATCCATCTTTGCCATCTAGAAATAAAAATGAGGTGAAGCAAGGAAAGTGTCCATAAATAGGAAACAAAGCAGAGTTTTTAAGGAAATAAGTAAATTCCCCTCGCATAATAGATGCGCCTGCTCTCGTCTTCTTGCCGCGTGTGAACGCACCTTCACTCTGAGAACCTGCCCTCTGCACGCCCCTCCTGTGGTCTGTGAGCTGCTAGCTGCACCGCTGAATGGAGTCCAGGCTCGCCGCACCTGTCTCTGTCCTGTAACCGGTGCCAACCCGATGCATTCCACACTGCTTCTCCTCTGGACAGTGAATTAAATATGATTTGCATCCTATATGTTCTTTTAAAACTGTCAAGCAACAGCTTTCTGGATTAGAGACAAAAAGTAAAAATGTTGGGGGCCTGAACGTCCCATTTTTGTAATGAGTCTGTGCCGCAAAAGGGACCTTCTTCTCACTTGGCCTGCAGAGACAGTAACTGCAGAAAGGTAATTCTAAATTGAAGTATCTATTTGTCATGGGAAGGCACAAAATGAAATTAGAAATCTGATAGTTCACTAGTTAGTAAGCCCACTGAGGAATGACTGCAAGCTCACAAAAATACAAAACATCAATCTCCCCCCCCAACACCTCACACACACTGGGAGGGAATCCTCCCCTCTGCTGTGGGCTTCCCACCCGGCCCCTCCCAGCGCCCTGCTCAGCCTCCCTTGCTGGCCGCGCCTGCGTCTGCCTCCTGCACACACCCTCAGACCACCACCCCAAGTGCGCTGGGTCTATACCAGCCCGACGCTCTGACTCACGCTGTCCATGGGTCACTTGCCTCTCCTGGCATTTTAGCAGTTCCTGTGCCCTACTTCTTTCCTAGAGGAGCCTCCTATGTCCCTAGGTGGGCAGCAGCCCTTGAGAAGAACACGATTTCCAAGATGGAAAGTATTTTTCAGATTTGTATGTGGATGTTCTGCTGTATTCTCAGGAGGTCTGTGGACAGAAGGCACTGCACGGGGAGCAAGGTCCAAGCGCACAGCACGCAGGACCAGGAGCGCTGCAGCTACACGGTACAACTACCACTTGGAAGATCAGGTGACTACCCAAACTTCTACAAGCTAAAGAAAAAGATGGCTAGCCCACTCTATTTACTTTTCTGGGTATCTGTAGGCTTTTGCTCACTCTTACTTATGCGCGAGTAATACACGCAATCGCCAATTCAGAGCACTGCATTTGTTCAATTTTAATTTAATGCAGTTTGTTAAATTTCATATATTCTAACAAAATGAAGAAAATGATAAAGCAAAATTCAACCAATGAAAATAAAACTCACTGCTCTATTACACGAAAAAGTTTTAATCTAACTTAGTTGAAATGAGAAAAAAATTTAAAATAAGTGAATGACAATTCTACTAATTTAGTTTGTACCAGAAAGTGTCTACGACAGACGCTGGCTGCCCCTCCGAGCCCCTGGCAGCGGCGTGCAACCAGGCTGAACTCACTCACGCACAGGAGGCCGGGCACCCCCAGGGCGCTCCCGAGCGGTGAGCAGGGGCCAGAGGCAGCAGTCAGACAGCACGACTGCTGCGGAAGGAATTCAGACGCCGGAGCTAAGAAAGGAGGAAGCCACCAAGGTACAGACCCTAGACTGCGTGCAGGCTCTCAGTGACAGTCAAGGGCACGTGCCGTGGCTGTGTTAAGGATAAGTGACCCCGAGCGACTCAACTGTGCCCGCGCCTCCTCCCGCGCAGCTAGCTGGTGCCCCAGGCCCTCAGGCTGCAGCCTCCCTCTGCCTTTATGTCTTAGGATCTCTCGGACGCACCACTCCACACAACCACAAGCAGCACTTAAATGAGAGGAAGGGAGGTGACGGCGTGCTCTTGGGTGCCGTGAAAGCCAAGCAGGCTTCACCCACGCAGAGGGCACGTCCTCCCCGCACGTACCGCAGCACTCGGGACAGCGCGGATGCTTCAGGACGTTCATCCCGTAGCCCGGGAAGCAGCGGTTAATCCACACCATCCTGAGGGTGCCTTCGATGTAGTATATCTGAGGCAGCGGCTCCGCGCGCCGGCCCAGAGCTTCTACTTGCTGATTAAAAAATCTCTCTATGAGATGCCTAGCCTAAAACAGAAAGAGAATTTGGGAAAAACGTATTAGCAACAAATGAATGTAATTTTAGAACACATGGGGTGGAGGGAAGGGAAACAAGTCTCGGGGCCTAAATATATTTAGCATTGAGAGGATATAAATCATGGGCGTCAGCTAAAAAGGTGACGTCGACATGCCCCCAGCATGGCCACTTTGCAGGCCACACAAAGCTATCGGTGGGCTACAGTCAAACGTGCCATCTCTTTGCTTTGGGAATATCATAAAGGTGGCCATCCCAGCAAAACCAGGGCAGCCCCTGAAGTTAAATGCCATTTACATAGGAAAGCTAACGCAACGTAGTTCAGGCCCCACTCAGAAGCTTCCCCTCAGGAATCCCCTCTAGTCTGTCAGAAAGAAAAGTGAAGTTAAAAAAACATGACAAACATTATAACCTCTATCTGTGTCACAAAAATCAAGTTTATAAAACAGGGCTTCATTCTGAGTTATAATTACCTTTATGTTTGTAATAATAATTGTTACTAGACCCCTAAAATTAATAAGAGGCTCAAAGTCGTCCATGTTCATTAAGCTCCAAGCACATGGCTCAGGTAAACCGTGCCAGCCAGGGCCGTCGGCGCCTCTGGTCCAGCCAGAGCCCGGACCTTCGTAGCCCGTGGCTGCTCAGCTGTCTGTGCGCTCCGGACGCACCGCCAGGGACACTCCCTCCCCCGGAGACATTCGACAAACAACTAGAGATGGCTTTGACCTGCCGCTCGCAGACACGTGGCCACTGCACCAGTGCTCCGTCACTCGGCAGCTTCCCACACTTACGGTGCACTTTTGTGCTTCTGTTGAATGCTGGTAAAAGTCTGTCAATTTTCACTTGATCAAATACAATTACTTAAGAATTGGATGACATCTAGTAATCAATTAATTACATTTAAATGTGAATCTACAATGAAAAATTTATTTATAACCACAACTTCCTAACATCCTGGACAAAAAAAGCTCAAAACAAACAAAAACAAGATGAGCTAGGCCTGAGAAGACCTGGTAGAAACAAAACTCAGACAACTATTCCCATTAGGAGAAGGAACACGCATCTGTCAGCTAACAAATATGAAAAGAAGGTAAGAAAGGTTTGCAATCACTAACTGAATGCTCTTACTCTAAACATGTCCACCACGGCCACTGTGGACAGGCTGGTCATGAGTCCAACTTGTGGAGACACGCCTGGAGGAGGCGGCAGTTGTGGTCACAAGGGAGCCATGCTGGCCACACGACTGCTCATTTGCTGTGGTCAGCCTCTGATGAACACTGCCACCCACATCAAAGCCTGCGCCTGCGCTGCCCACTCAGAGGGCCGCCCACCTGCTCCTCCTCGCACTCCTCTGCCATCAGCTTTGCGGCAATGCCTCTGCCGCATCCCTGGTCACCCAGAAACACCACTGACCTGATGCTAGGAATCAGCACATGTTGCACACCTGGCCGCTGCTCCTACGAGAAAAAGGGTCCAAAAATTGGCCAGAATAATACACCCAAGGGAGAAAAATGATAGCTCCAAGTATCCAAATAACCCCACTGTTCCGGTCAGTGGTTTGCAAGAGAGCAGATTTAATGCAGGACACATAAATGGCCAGGACTATCTTGTAACAGTACCCCAAAAGCCAAATGCAGAAGACTGCAAGACATCTGTCCATGCACTAGAGACCCAGAGAATGCGGCCTCACCAGGGCCTGGATCCACAGAAGGTTCCCCACAGCCCCAGGCCAGCTGGAGGCTGAGAGCCCACACCAGTGCCTTGTGCCAGGGGCCTGAGCAGTCCAGGATGGGAGACTCAGCGGCCTGGACTGGAGCCAGAGTCTGCGCCACGGGGCTAAGGCCTTGCGTGAAGGCTGGGCCACAGCCCTGAGCAGGAGACGGCGCTCCAGGTGAATGGGAAGACCAGAGCTGCTCCAAAGAGAGCAGCAGCTCTTCCTCAGTGAGAGAGTGAGCTTGAGTCAGCAGCCCCAGACACGACAAGGCTTCCCCGGGAAATGAGTGCTGCGAATTCTCCCCGCCTTTCTCCCTTCTTGATGCCAGCAGGCATCATCCTGGGTCTCCACGTGCAGAGCCACTCTGACTGCGCTCAGGCAGGCTTTCCCACTCCAGCTAAGCCTCCACACCCCTGAGCACTGTGTCCCTTTGTGGTGACAAGAAGGACCAGACAACTATGTTCCCCACGCAAGGCACCAGGAGGGCTGATGTAGGAGGCCCCTGGATCTTAGCCTTATTTCCTGTCCTCTAACATGCAAAGTGTCCTGTCAGAAGTCCAGAAGGGCTGTTCCTTCTCACGTCATGGGTCCACAGAGCACAGTCCCATCTGTACAGTGGACCCTACAATACGCTGTGGAAAGCAAAGGCCACTGTGAGCAGAGCTCTGACATGGGCTGGAGAACCAACGTATCCTGAGGTACACAAGAGAGGGCGCACTGCAGTCTTCTGCCAGCAAAATCAAGCTTCTACTGGGCTGTAAGGCCAGGGACAGAGAAAAGGAACTGCCAAGTTAATAGCTGCAGACCAGGCATCTGGAGATATATTAATCTGCCCACGCAGTGAAATCACACGGGGCCAGCAGCTGCAATTCGTCACCACCACCACATGGCTCGGCTTATGATGGTTCCCCTTGTTCCCAGGAACCACCCTTCTTCTCCCACACAGGTGAAAGAGGAGCCGGGTGGGGGCGTGGCGAGAGCCAGCATCCCTTCGCCGTTCAGGCCCGAGGTAGTGGAATCCATCGCTGCTCCCTCCAAGAGTGTGGCACTGCCTTTGATTCACAACATTCAGAAACATTTCACTGGCCTCTTTGCCTTTTCCCTCCACACTCTACAAATCCAGGAACCAAAGTTGGGTTCCGCCAGCTGCTCTGCTACTCCTACTACACATTTTGGAACTGGGCAAGCAATCACAGGATGGGCTCAGAGGCCCCTGGGCCCACCCCGAGGTGGGCCTGAGCAGCACCCCGCTCATCACCCCATCTCCACATGACCGCACTCTGGCAGGCAGGCCCCAGAAGACTTTGGGTCTCCGGGAAGCAACAGCGGGTCAGAGGCAGAAGTCCGTGTGCCTGCGAGGGCAGTATCTTCTACTCTAGTACGCAGCTATTCTGGCAAAAGGGCGCCTTTGGGAAGCCTGAGGCAGTGATTCCCAGCACAACGTTCTGGTTACCTGTTAGGGTCCTTCCTTGCACCCAATTCACTCCATATTAGAAACCTCATGTTCCTCCCACATTATCCCCGCCTCAAATTATCCAACGCCACCCAGGTTCCCTGGATTTATCTGGCACACATCAGAAGACCCCTCAAGGGTCACGCTTCATGCCTCATGCCTACCAGTCTGCTGGGACTGCAGTCCAGCTAGAAGTCTGGAAGCAAAGAGGCTGTTCAGACTGGGCCCTGAGGAGGAGGCTCGGCCTTGGGCTGCGCAGCGAGAGATTCACTCAGGCAACGCGCGGGCCGAGCCCCTCTGGCAGGACAGAAAGGCAGGTGTCCCTGCTGTCATATTTCTCTGAATCGTTCACACCATGGGCAATCTTTAATACTGAACATGCAGTCAGTCCCTGGTATCATCAAGTCTAATCAGATTAGAAAACCGATTCTCAAAAAATGCAGAGCCAAGCTCTAAAACTCAGCCTAAGAATTCTGCTGCAATAGAATAACCCTTGTCACAAAAAATCTGGACTACTCAGAGTTCTCCAGAGAATAGGACCAGTAACACACACAGACCCACACACCCTCTGTGTCCACAAGTTCTATGCCTATGCATTCAATCAGTTGCAGATTGAAAATATTTCTCAAAACATGTTTGTACTGAACAGGTACAGACTTGCACCTTGCCAATATTCTGTACCAAGGTGATGCAAAAATGCTTCACATGGCACTAATGTTGCATTAGACATTACCACAGAAGGAACTCTGCAGAGGCTTAAGACCCTTACATAAAACCCCCTCGTGTTTGCTGTGTTCACTGAGATTAATTACAGGACTAGGTTCCCACAATTATGGAGACCACCAGAAAGGCAGGAGCACAAGCCCAGCATGTCGGGGAGCTGGAGGAGAGGTGGCAGATTCCTGCTCATCCAAGCCCCAAGGTGACGCCTGCACTAGCAGCGCCGGCACCCTAGGGCAGGTGGAGACAGGCACCGCAGCTAAAAAAGGGTAATAAATGAAAAAAAGACACAAGGGGAAAAAAAAAGGCTACTGGGCTATCCTGCAACAATGCTGTATATGGTTAGATTTCTAAATTTCTGTGTAAAAAATATGTAATTGTTTATTCATATTCTTTAAATATTTTTGATTTTTAAATTTTTTCTCTCCATATTCTGTAGGGACTTAAAGCTTAATATATCAATACTTGATGGAAAATACCTGTTCCATGTTATGCCTAAGATATTTGATATTCAGATAGTGAGGTTAAACCCAACTGCATATGTTGTAGGGTAATAATAAGCTTCTCTTCTGGAGGGTTAACAACCTAAGTTTACAGACCAAAAATTAGAGAAATAGAAGGGCTGCAAGGACAGCCAACATTTTGGCCCTGGCCTTTCAAGGTCAGTGAAGGCTCAGGACATAGGAGAACCTGTACTGTAACATCATGTAACTCAGTTGTGTCCCAAATGTTCTGATCAAGGAGATTATGGGGCCACAGAGGAATGTGATTGATGACATGGAGTGTGCCTAAGGAGAGTCACATGGAGAGAAAACGTTCTCTCAGGCTATCACAGAGAGCAAATTGGTCAAGCAATGGCTGTGACTCATCCACATGGCTGACACTGACAAAAGATCTACAATCTGAGGTGCAGGGCTACAGGATAAAACCTGAGGGTACTGGACTGACCTTACCAGATACAAAAGTTACATTCTTGCTATACAGGTCTTGCTTTACCTTGGTCTTAACCATCCAGCAGAAAAGTATAAAAACGAGGAATATAAAGTAAAGCCACATTAATACGCTGAGCTGTGAAAGGCTCAACAACTTCTGCGGATACCCCACTACTAGTGTGGACTGCTGGACTGTGTTGGATTGTTCTGCTGAATTCACGCACCTATAGTATTTAGATGCCAATGGAATACCCATCTCTGACAGGACTAAACAAAAAAAGGGGATACAAAGGAAGGACCATTTTGTATTTGTATATACAGAATAGTTAGGATAGATATACAGCTACTTTTGCTTAATTCAACGAGAAGATAGATTTGTACTAATAGTGTTTAGACAGGATATCCTGTCTGCTTCTTGTACTATGGATAAGCACTAAGAAAATAACAATGTACAATGTATTAATTATTGAAACTGTCCTAGTAATCAGCTTTGAAACTGTCTCATAGATATTTGTTTCTCAATAAAATAAAAAGAGAGCTCACACCTAGGACACCCCCCGCCCGCCTGCCTCTTCTCGTAGCTGAACACCCAGCACGCGGGACAGGGTCTGCCCTGTGGACCTGCGCCGCTGTCCTTCCTCAGGTGAGGCCCCAACCCAAATGCCAAGCGCTTCCAGAGACATCCTCGCAGTTTCAGCGGGGAAGAGCGGCTTTGTTCTGCACTCCGGGCATGCCCAGCCAGCCAGGGTGACCGTGAGACGAGCTCTCACCGGGCAGCACATCTCCTCCTCGCAAGCGGACCTGCTAACACCGTCTGCGTGGTGCTTGGGGCGCAGGGACAGCAGTGACACGGTTATCCTTGCTCTGCAAGCAAAGCTCTGACATTTTATTTAAAGGAGCGGAACAATACCAGCGATTCCGAACTACGTTGGGACACTACAGCTCCTCACACAGCCACTATGAGGCTCCACAAAAGAGGACGCCCCGAAGTGCAAACAGCGTAGAGACATGATTGGTCTTTAATGTCCTCATTTCAGAGTCTATTGATTAAATTCCAAGCTGTCAGAAAGAAGAGAAGAACCTTGCAAGGTGCTTCTCCTTCTCTAGAAAACACTGTTCATTTTTCTACAGGAAATTAGTCCAAGACATGCCGAGCCTGGTGGTGAGACACACTGGGGGGCCTAACGTGGGCCGGAGCAAAGCGCTTGCTCGCGGGTGGTTTTTAAGTAACTACACCAACTTGACTGATATTCTTTTTCTATTCTTTCTTTTTAAAGCGGGTATAAAGTAATACTAAAAATTAGAAATGTGAATTCGACAGTATTTGCTGTATGCGCAGTGTTGTTTGACCTCGCTGTGTGGATCGTCTATCTACGTACGTACACAGGTTGGCTCGGATAACTGTGCATTGGATTTCTGCTGGCCGAGGAAAAGGAGCAGCTGACGCTTAAACTTTTGTCCTCTTTTTTCATTTTTTTCCCTCTTTCTCTCTTCTTAATTTCTTATAACCTTTTTCTTTCTTTTTCCAATTGTGCATGTATATATCTGCTAATTTCATTCATATTCTTAGAAACTACGAACCTGCTACTGCTGCATCACGTGATGGAAGGGAACCTCCTTGCAGAGCTTGAGGGAAGGCCACCAAGGCCCCGGGCCCAGCACAAGTCTCCCTGCCGCCACAGCGTGGGCCCGGGCTGACCCAAAGCAACTGGCGCGGTGAGCAGGGCAGGTGGCTTGTCGACGGCATTCTGTGCTACGGTACTTGAGTGGAGTGAGGACACAAAACCCGCATAAGCTACTGGCCACTCTTTGATGACCCTAGCTCTAACAGGCTGACCTCACTCTCTCCTAAGGCCTGTGTTGAGGTCTTCAGCCCCCGAGACTCAAACAGTGCCTGGATTTGCAAATAAGCAATAGAGAGGCCTTCAAACATTTGACCTTCAGAGAGCTAAGTAAGGCACAGTGAGCCACCAGCATCAGCCCTCACCTGACCAGTGTCCTCAGGACGAGAGCAGGACACAGGGAAAGGCCACATGAGTATGAAGCCTTCCTCGGGCAGGGAAGGCGCACAGGCCAAGTCCGCCGACACCCTTTCCTGGACTCCCCAGACTCAGACGACAACCCAAGGCACTCCTGTCACTGAGCAGCCCGGACTCTGGGACTCGCCCAACGCACAGACTGCGGCACATCGAGGCTAAACCCACAAGCACACGCTCAGCTGTGCTCTAGCGAAGACGCAAAGCTACACGGGGAAGCAGGTGGCGCTTTCAGCTCACAGCTGCGGATGGGGATGCACAGGGCACCGGCGGCAAAAGCGCCTTCAGCTAAGTATCACACTTACAAAAATCACACTTTTAAAACTTAAAAAAAAAAAAAATGGGTCCAAATCTTCCGGATACAAGAGTACGCAAACTGTTCTTAGGTTTCACACCAAAAGGAGAATTTAAGGGTGGGGGTGGGGTGGCACGCCTGATTTCATAAAAATTAGGAAGTTCATTTTTGTGAAAATGTGCAGATGAGAGAAACAGAGCTGCAATCCAACAATAAATATTTATAAACAAAAAACTGGAAAGAGGAATATGACCGCTAATATATGAGCTCTGAACTCAGAAGTTGAAAACAAACTAGAAAATGAGACATTTTCAGAAATTTCACCAAATATGTCCTAGGGTTACAGCTCTACGAAAATGCAAATAAAGCCTCTTGGGCTATCGGAAAGGCTAACGCGAGTAACACTAGCCACCCCAAGTGCAGCGAAGACGCAGACAGATGGCTCACTCACTCAAGGCAACAGGAAACCAACTATAATGCAACCCACAATGAATGTGCCAAATGGTATTCTGTATAAAAGCTTGCACATGAAACGGACAGATGCTCTACCGCAAGCAGTCAAGGCCAAGGCCCCCAACAGGAAGGACTTAAGCACACTGCGACGTGCCCCCCCCCCCGCCCCGTGGATGCTGAGGCGAGGAACAAACCACGACGCCTGACACCTATACACCTTCAGGGAATCCTGGGAATTTTTTTTTTAATCCTGACACTTTAGACATGGAGAACAGAACAGTGGATGTCAGGAGTCAGGCCAGCAGTGGGAGAGCCGGGAGGGAGGTGTGCGCAGAAGGCGGCACCCTGGAGCCTGGGGCCGTGGGGCTGCTCTGCATCTGTACTACGTGGCGGACACCAGGTCCTACACCAGGCACGGTGCTGCGAATGGCCTGGCCAGCAAAATGAGGACAAGGAAGCCAGGAACAGCTAGAGGACAGCAACAGACAGTAAGGACAGCCCTTAGCTGTGATGTGTACCACTTACTTTAGCAAATGTGTAAGGAATCTCTCAAAATTGATTCTTGTCACTCTATGCTAACCTAAAGTTATCTTCCCAATTTTCAATTGAAAATGCACGAGTGATTTACGTACTGATGTCTTTATAGTTATTGTTGTGGCAGTTCTAAAACATGACCAGGAGTTCTATGACGTACATATCACAGAACAGAGAGGATGGTAACAAGGAAAACAGAAAAATCCTTAATCAAACACTAACAAATATGATGAAAATAGCTGCTTCTTCCAATAACATCAGAAAACATATTAGACAAAATGTAACAGCATTCATAATATGATGCAGTAAATAAAGAGCAAAAAAGACAATGTCCTCATTCCGAGAAACGAAAATCCAGCGCTAAGCGCAGACTGACAGCAAACGCTTTGCCCGTGAGCGGAGCAGAGAGACGCTGCCGCCCGCCCTCGGCTCGGCGCCGCTTCCAGGTTCTGCTGACTGAGGCCAGATCAGGCGAAGACAGCAAAACCATGAAGGCGGGAAAGAAGCACCAATGTCTCTCTCTAATGTGAATATTTATACGAACATCCAGCAACCTCCAAGACAGCTGCTGTAACTAGCACGTGAATCTAGCGGGTTGCACGGTGTGCGGGTAATATGCAGGCATCTCTTGGAGACTGAAAACAGGAAAATTACAGACATGACTCCTTGTGAAAAATAAATTAATAGCAAAAGCAAACAAAACCAAATAAATGAAAATTCGCTCTTCTTCATATAAACAATCATATTTAAAGGGAAAGTATTTCATAAACTATAATTTTTTTCAAATTTATTTGGAGATGAAGTTGTTCTTTATTACTGAAGTTCCTCTGGGAGTTGGATGCAGTGGCTGAATAGACCAGCTGCCTGCTTCCACACTGCGAACACTCACTCAAGCTTTTACCTTTCTCATACACGACATACCTTAGATAGTCTTCGGAAATATTCACAGTCATGGCCTTTACAAGTTTTGGGTCCTTTTTCAGTGTCTAGAGATGAAACTAAGAAAATAAATTCTTTGTTATCATGAGTACAAATACTACACCAACAAATTTAAATAGGTCTTTGAAAAGTAACATGATTCTTTGTGCAATATTTTTCTTCCATTAAACATTATTTAAAATGCTACATAGCACTTGAGTAAACACCGAAGGGCAATATTCATTTCACCTAAATCCAGAAAAATTCACTTTTACCATAAGTCAGAATTTCTTTATGCTTCTTCACTACTTTAATTCACTACAGCTTGAACAACAGACTCACTTCCGCTTGATGGCACGTATACACAGGCTGCATTTACCTGTTCCCTGCCTCAGCTCTTTCCTATAGTGGGAGCCACCAGCCCATGTAAGTCTCAACCTCAGTTACCATGTGCTAAAGGCAGACAGCACATGGTGCCAGGCGTGGTGGGAATTCCAACAGTTTGGGAGGCTGAAGCAGGAGGAATCACAAGTGGGAAGCCAGTTGGGGCAACTGAGTGAGTTAGCAAGATGCTGTCTGTCATGGCTGGTGTCCGGGTGTCCCCCAGAGCCTCATCAGGCATAAGGCAGCTTCCAGTTAGCGATTAATTCAAGATCCAATGCTGGGATTATGGGCATAAGTTCTATACCTTCACTGGAGCAGACGGCCTGAATACAGTATGGGGAGGGGAAAGGGGCTCGCCAGCTGGTGCAGCTCTTTGCTGTTTCTGCCACCATCACCAGCTGCCCTCTGCCATGTGCCCGTCTGCCCTGGAGCCAGCTGAGGACGGACTGAAACCTCCACTCACTGTGAGCTAAAGAAGCCTTTCCTTCCCTTCATTGTGGGTGTTGGGTATTTTGTCCCAGCAACAGAGAAAGTTACTGAGACACTGTCTTAAAATAAGATATCGAAGGCCCTAGTCCACGCCCAATATGCAAGCAATAACCTAAAACCAGAACTGCGTGAACAAGACCAGAAAGGGAATGAAGGTGACCACTGCAGCGGTCACATCGCCTCGATTACGAGGACACTCCCCCACGCACGTGCTTCTTTATTTAACAAAGTTATTGCCCCAGGACCATGTCTAGGAATTTGGTACATATTAAGTTAACAGAATCAGGACGATCCCACTGGTTTAATACTGTGTCGATGAGTAATATCTTCGTAAGATCACCTGAGAAAGATTCCTGCAGTACAGCCAAGACTGACTGAGAAAGTAGAAAGACTGAGAAACAAGCAACAACTGTAAAGTTCCCAGAAATGAGTCTTTCTAAATGACAGCATCAGCAGTGTACCAGAAAGTGCAGAACTCCTTCTTGTTACTTCCTGCTATTCATCAAAACACGTGGAAAGAAATCTTACTTGCAGCCCTGATCCATCTCTAATAAACACAAGCACATTGTTCAGCGTCTTCTTAAGGCTTCTGCTCGCTATTCTGTACATCAGCAGGCTGAAGAATGTGATTTTTATCACTCCTTACAGCTGTGAGAATGTGACTAAACCCTAAACACACCATCTATAATTTAACTATTCGCAATGTGCAATTTTATTTTTTTCCTGCAAATATTGCCATAACCTAGAGATGGCAAAAGACTGATTGCATAAAATCATAAAATGATTTCATAAAAATTAAAAAGTTCATTTTTGTGAAAATGTATAGATGAGAGAAATAGAGCTGCTCTCTAACAATAAAGATTTATAAATAAAAAATGGGAAAAAGGAATGTGGCCTCCAATATAGAGCTTTGAACTCAGAAGTTGAAAGCAAACTAGAAAATGAGACATTTCTCAGAATGAGAACATTGTCTTTGTTGTTTATTTACTACATCATATTATGAATGCTGTTAAATTTTGTGTAATACATTTTCTGGTTTTATTGGAAGAAACTGCTACTGTCATCATATTTGTTGATGTTTCATTAAGGATTCTTCTGTTTCCCTTGTTACTATACACTCTCGTCCTAGACTTCCCAGACACGTCCTGTGGTAACTGTCCAGTGCTATGGCTTATGCCTAGACGTTCCCCCAAAGCCTCGTGCACCCACCAACAGGGCTGCTGAGAGGTGATCATGGGGCTGCCACACCTGACTGTGATGCAGAGGTGGGGCCCAGTTGGAAGCGGGTGCACAACCCGCTGGGTGTGTGTCCCGCTCACCCCGGCTTGGCTCCCCTCCCCCTGCTTCCTGGCCACCACAGTGGAAGCAGCTCTCCTGCAGCAGGCTGCATCTCGCCATGCTGCCTGCACCCTGGAGTCAGCCAACTATGGACAGAACCTCTGGAAGACGTGAGCCAAAAAGTCCTCTTCTCCCTTACGTTGCAGGTGTTGGGCATTCTGTCCCAGCAACAGGGAAAGAGACACAGACAGTGACTCTGAGTAGGTTGTTTTCCACGAACATCTCTCCAAGCAGCAACACCTGCCCATGCGATTCTGTCATCCACTTCCTCAACAGCATCTCCCCTTCCCCAGAACCCGCAGGGCATGGCAGACAGCACAGACACGGACTGACTAGACGAAGCCCTGAACAACTGCGGTCAGTATGCACAAAGAACTAACAAAAACCATGTACAAAAGACTAACCTCAGAAAATGCTGTCTTAGCAAATAATGTTGATAAAGCAAAAGAACTTACAAATAGCAAATCAAAAACAATTCTAGAGCATAAATTACAACAGAGGAATTCACTAAAGATGTACAATAGCTCTGTAGAGAAAGAAAAAAAGAATCAGTGAATTTGAGAATAAATCACTGAAATTATTCTATTAGAGAAGAAAAAAGACCAGAAATGAAGAAACTCATGTGACAGCAAATGTATCAACGTACACATGAAGTGGGAGTCAATGGGGTAAGAAGGGGACAGCACACAGGGAACAACTGCAGAAATAGTGTCAAAACCCCAAATTTGATAAAAGACATGAATCTACACACACTAGACGATCAAAGGATCCACATGCACCCATGACACATGCAAGGAGCACCACACTCAGACACAGTGTAATCGTGCTTCCAAAAACAGGGAGAGCAAATCTGGACAGCAGGGGAAGGAGTGACTCACCACATGCAAGGAGCACAAGCAGATGACGCAGGACCTCTCAACAAGAGCCACAAGGCTCCACGCAGGCCTCCGCTAGAAGCCCACTTAGTGCAGACAAGCGTGGGAAGGTTAAAAGAAAGTGGGGGAAACAGGCGAGGCTAACCTGAATCTAAAGAAAGCTAAGTAGAAATTAGGGGGGGAAATCAGGAATAAGTGGACTCATTAGGAAAGTACAGTAAACTCTCCTCTACATGAGTATGCTTCTTATGAATGGAATACCAATAGTGTAAAACCTATTAAGACAAATAATGGTAAAACTACAAAGAGAATAAAAATCTACCAGTCACGATCGCACAGGGAGACAGCAACACCTTCTACGAGGGCCTACAAAGTCCACAAAGCAGGAAATGAAAACACAACACCTACTCTCTTTCTCAAACTCACATAAAATACTCACAAGAAAGACCACAGTTAGGGCCATAAAAATACCTAAATAGATTTCAAATAACAGAAATAACACAATGTAGGCACTCAGACTACAACAGAATTAAACTAGAAACCAATGACAGAAAAAATAGATGGGAAACACAAAAGATATTTGGACATCAAATACCATCCTCATTCATAATATAGTAAATCTTAATAAAAAATTATATATTTCAAGCTGAATGGAAATGCAACTTACCAAAATGTGTGGCATGGAATGAAAAGAGAATTAAGAGAGAGATGTATATCTCTGAAAATATGGAGTAGAGAAGAAAACTGATATAAGTTCAATTACTGAAGCTTCCATTTAGGAAAATATTAAAAGGAAAAAAGAAAATTCAAGAAACAGAAAAAAAATAACAGTTTGAGCAAAAATCAATAAAATCAGTAATAAAAAATCAAAATGTGAAATCAAAGTCTAGCTGTTCAAGGGCACTGACTGACAAATCCCTGTGAAAAAGGAGAATCCACACTCACCAATCCAAGAAACGAAAGAGTCATCTTACTTCTGATTTATAGCCCTTGAAAGAATATTAAGAAAATATTAGGCAAAGCACCTCAGATGTCAACTCTTCTTAGAGTCTGTGAAAACTCATGCAAGAATAAGAGGATGCAAATAATTCCGTATCAGTCAAAGAAATTCAGTAACCATTTTCTCAAATAGCACTTGAAAAAGATGGTTTCATTGGTCAATTCTACCAAAATCTTTAAGACACTTTGTAAGGCCCACAGCGTGTTCCCGAGGCATGTGCACTCCGCCCAGAACGGGAGGAGACACTTTCTGAGGACAAGTGCCAGAACACCAAAGTCAAATAAGCACCGTACAGGGAGGACAACCACAGGCTGACGCTGCTAATGGACACCATGATCAAGAAGGTCGTGGCCAACTGAATCCAGTGACATTAAGAAGTAACACAGCTCGTGGCAAAGCAGAGAGTGCCCCAGGATAAGCCACTGAGGTTGTGATTTCAAGGGGTCTTGTTCAATGTATAAAAATCAGGACACACAGAGTGAGAAAATAAAAAGGTTTTAAATCACACGGTAGATGTAGACAAACACTGGATGAAGTGCGTTACCTTTTCTTGACAGAAACTCCCAGCAAGCTACCAAACTCAGCTCCCTAAAGAGCTACTGTTGTGATAAAAGGAAAGAACGCCGTAGAGATTTTCTCCCTACAGTAAGGGTTTGAAAGGGAAGGATATATCCTGTCTCCGTCACTTTTCGGCATCACAGTGTGAATCTTAGAGAAGACATTAAAATGAGAAAAAGAAACAAAAGACACTTGCATACACATGTCTAAGGAAGAATAAGACTCCTCAAAGATTACACGACTGTCTATGTGGAAAACACCAAATAAAAGAAAGAAAGAAAAGATTGGAAGGAGTAAGTAATTGCAGCAAAAGTTTCAAAATACAACATTAATATAAAATACCTAAAATGTGCAGAGGCTCAAAAAGCTTCCATGGCCAAAGAATGTGGAGAAAGTAAGCTTTTGATCTCATCTACAAAGCTACAGCAACCAAACA